AAGGCCAAACAAAGTAGTTTCGCTTTCACAACGAATCACATAGCGCCTTCACGACATGGCGGCGGCAGCAACTATACTACAGCGAGAATAAAAGTTACTCCTTCTTTCTTTGTGTGAACATTTGGGCGGTGTTATGCAAATCTTCCCACATCGTGACGTAGATATGTGGGGGCGTGTTAGAATGAGCCATTTTAGGTAAGTGTGGCTGACTCTTAACTTTTAAAAAGAATATCTCTTTGGATTTGAGACTTTAGTCTTTGCAACTTTACAGATCTTCTTTATGCACCAAGAGCTTGTAACACTTCAAAGAGAAAGGAAAACTTGAAATCGCATCATATGACCCCTTTAATTGTCAATAAGAGATGTAATCGATTAAAGCTATCGATGGTCGATTAAGCAATTTTGGGGTGCTTGTGGCTCATGAGAAAAACACATGCAAGTGACTGTGAGTGACGTGGTGGGGCTGGAACTTTTGCGAAAATAATTCACTGATGTACAAATTGTGCTTTTAATGTGATCCAAACTTTAAAAGTACATAAAAATAGAAAAAATAAAAAGTAATTCAACATGGAAAGCAATAAAAATGTTTAATTATAACTTCCCCAAATAATTGTTTCATATCGGGCTCTGCGCTTTGACAGGGCCGTGGGACACAGGCAGGACAGAGCCCGTCTCTTTTCTCTTATCTTCATGTTTTCTCCCAATATTCCAAATATCAAGCAAATTACACAGTTTGTAAATGGTCAGAAAAGCTAATTATATATATATATATATTATATATAATTCATTACAACTTGTTAATTTGTTCCTACGAATTATAAATTTTTGTGCATGTGTCATTAATGAATCCAAAAGCATGGTCGTGATGTAACATTTGCATGCTAACCAATTATTTATCTTATAAACAAAGCTTTGTACCTCACTTGTGTCATAATATTCACATAAACATGTTTCGTGTGAGCATCAGTGGAAGAGGTTCACTGACCGCACAGCACAGCCCCACATGCCGCAGTTACGTTTGGGATCATTTTATTTTAAATGGTGATAATTTTAATTGCAAACATTGCGATTGTGTTTTAAAATATAACGAGCACCATGAAACCATTTAAAAAGGCGTATTCAGTGGTCTCTGTGACAGAATATGAAACTGCCAACAAAGTAAAATGATCCCAAACGTAACTACGGTGCGCTCTCTTCCTTTATCAAATGATCATAATCACATCTTTTCATTTTACAATCCTACTACTAGCCTTTTATTTAGACTAAAAACCCCTTTCATTCGGGTGAGGAAGTTGGTGTTTTGAGTAGCATTTGCACATCCTGTAATGCCGGTGACTATATGCCACTGCAACAGACGCATTTTTGCAGTATTAAGGTTTAACGAATAATCAATTAATTGATCATTAATTTAAACGACGATTGATCATGGAAATGATTGAAAACTGACATCCCTAGTCTTTCGAAAATATTACAGCTATAAGAAAAGGACCAAACTCTGGGAATTTGCTGTTTGCAGGTGTGTTTTGGATGAAGTGATATGGCATCAGACCAGTATAACTGATCACTGCATGCAAATACAACTTGTATTAAGTTTATCTCATTCAAAGTAACAGCTTATTCAGTACTGAACAGTAATGCTGATGCCACCTGCAGCTCCCTAATCTCAGTTAAGTGGTGCAAATTCAGTGTTAATTATCAGCCTCCATTGAGAAGATTCTACTAAACCACAGAATAATAAAATTGGCTAAATGAAAAATAGCATACTACCATATAATATTTAAAATATTTAATATTTCTGCATAACAGTATACATCTAACAAAATTTATGCATATTGTACTGTATCCCACAATGCAATGCACCTGACTTGACTATCCATATCAATTGTGATGAATGAACTTGAAATCACATCAACTGCAATTTTTTATATCTTTTTTGATTAATTAATAAATTACAAAGCCAAAAGTTGCCAAACCATTGTACTAACAACCATCCAAATATTAAGCAAATATGTAAAATGTAACTGAAAGTATCCTGCTATTAATAACTATGCCATAATACTGTCATCAACATAAAAAAAAATGCTTGTTCATGGATTTTACCATGTCATGGCCCATATGTACTGTGTTTGCCTAAAACAGTGTGTGCAGTGAAGCTGAGGTCCACCCACATAACTCTAATGGAAAAAGTGCACTTTAAAATAGTTTTTCAATTATTTAAACCTATAAACTTACAGTGACTTTGGGACAGTATAAATGGAGGTGTGTAAATGAAAGACGGTCTTACCCGGTTCACCGAGGACAGGGGCTGGAAGTAGTAGTACTGGCAGAAGTCCAATACCAGAGTGTAAAGACTCAGAACCTGAGTGTAAAAACACAGCTGCAAAAAGAGCCAGTGGTTATCCTCCCCAACACAGTTATTAATCCTGCACAGACAGAGACAGAAATGTTTCAGCTATTTTTAATAAATTATAATAAGAATTCCAAATTAAATACACTACTTTATTACCTAAACGGATATAAACAAGGTCTATTTCACAACCTAGTGAGCACCTTGCTACAAGACAACCAAGTGAGCACCTTGCTATTTTAAAGTGCACTTGCTACATGTTCTAAGGATGTAAAAGTTCATAAACAACATAAAACTATTTTAGAGCACTTTAAATAGGTAGGAACTCCACAAGGCACACAAGCAGCACTCCGCACAGGAAACTTGACCTGATTTGACTAAATTCACAACTATGGAACTTTTCTAAACATTCACGTCTCACTATGTACATGGAAATTTGGATGGTCCTTGAGATGATCGCGAGCAGCAATACAAAGTCAATCTAATATTTAATGTTTTTTTTTTATAGAATTATGTAGCAAATAAGAATTGTTCAAATTACCAAAAATATTATGAGACAAAGATCTTATTAATGTTTTTTTGTGTTGTTCAAGGTAATTAATTCAAAAGTTTTTCTTAATAAATAAAAAATATGTAAAAGTATGGTATTCTTTGTGAAAAGCACCCCTACTGTTGGGACTAAAGGCACAATAATTAATCTGATGATCAGGGCAAAAGGCTCTGATCATCAGATTAGTTTTATGTCCCTTCAAAATATCTTCTTTTGTATTCAGCAGAAGAAAGATATTCATACATGTTTGGAACAACTTGAGGGTGAGTAAAAGATGACAAAATTGTCATTTTTGAGTGAACTATCCCTTTAAGACAGATCACGCCACAGGAAGAAGCACCAGAATAAGGAACATAAGAGAAGAAAAAAAAAAGAATAGGGCAGAGAGGGCCAAAAGAGAGAGCAAGATGAACTGTTAGTAAAACGAATACAGAAAACGATATGGCCACGTTTTTTCCTCCTCTTCCCTCGGCCATTACAGGCGATGACAGGGAGTCACGATTTGCTGAGTACAGACAGACAGCAGCCTTCATCAGCTGTACTGTAGGGCTGGACTTAACACAGGCTTCTCTGGTCACTTGATATCGCCTCTCCCTCTGTTTTGCCTCTCTACAGAGACTTCATTAAACTTGCTCTATACAAAATCCACCAGGAATGTAAAGCTGTCTGGGGTACAGGGTCTTTTAAGGTTATACTGTGAACTTGGGTCATCAGGACAGATTTCAGTTTGGATCCTAAACGGTCATAAAAATCTCAACATGTCTCATATACAGATAACAAGCCTTAGAGAACCGGTATAGAATTAACTTTTTTTTTTTGGTCACTGTTAATAATTAAATTATTTGTTTTCTCACAAGCACAAAAATACATGGATAATATATACAGAACTTTTTTAAAGACTGCTGTGCTCACACAAATGCTTGTAGTAGTGTATTATTTCTATTTATTGTTAAAGTTTTACCAGGGACAGTGGTGGTCCATGCGACGGACACAGTGGCCACAGCGGCTGCAGTGGTGTGACCTCTTTGGCCTCATCATGTTGCATTTATTGCACAATTCCCAGTTGTCTCTCTCTGAAATGACAAGGCAAATAAAATGTAAAAAAAAACAAAAAAAAACATTTTCAGTGTTGCTACAAAAACTGTAACTGGAATAAAAAGGTCTTCACTGCCATCTAGTGGTATTCAAAGAAAAAAATTATTTTGATGTTTTGAAGCTATTCTACCCTCATATAATTTCAGGACAAATGACTGTATAAAATTGCTCATCCATGTGACAATGACACTAAATATAATTAAATTTAAAAATAATTAAATATTACTAATTTTAAACAGGTTTCCTAAACACTGTTCTTCTACTATTTGTTGATTAGATGCTAAATTATACAGAGCATTTGCACTTTTCAGGAAAATCAACATATGAAAAGGTTACTTACAGCTGTATGCTACATAGTGTTCACAAATTATCATCAACAGACAATGTTACTTTCAGCAGTAATATTATGGCCATTTTAAATATTACTGTATAGAAATACATGTAAGCCTATATTATGTAACATACCTGTACATTTATGTTGCATTAATCAGAAATGTTTTGTCATTAACTGGAACATTAATAAATAAAATATGTGTTCTCATTTTCAATCTCTCATTTTGACAGATAAATGAATTTCCCTGCTTTAGAAAGGGATATTAGATCGGTTTTGATAGGGATTAAGGTCTGTTAAATCCACAAGTGTACCAAACTACACTGTCCATTGGATCACTTGTACATTACTATAACATTCTAAAAATGGTCTAACATAAATAAAGGTATTACAGTTTTTTACAATTGCTAACATCCTTTTGTCCAATCTGTAGTCACATTTTCAAAACTCTAAACACAATTAGCACAAACCGTCTGTTGTGACCATACCATTAACACAATTTGTGCCGTTTTCACACAGTATGCAGTCAATCACCATGTTTCTAAAATGCTTACATTTTCTTTTCATACAAGCTTACCCAAAACCAAAATCATGGATTTTTGTAGTCTTATTTACAAATGTTTAAACACAGCATGTCAGAAATGAAGACCTAATGTTCCAAATCTTAAATATAGTATAAAGCTTCTACTTCTGCAACAACAGCAGCTCAAAAGTATTGAAAAAAATCTCTATATATAAAATATTTTAACAATTAATAAGCATTTTTAAGTAACAGATCGCTGAAATATTTAGAATTAGCTGATTCCAGTCTCAGTTGTTGGAATAGTCAGGTGTTGATGCTCTTTCCATTACATCAACATAGAGTAAAAAAAGACCTCTTTGAATTGGTTTTGTGAATGCAGAACAACACAAAGAATCAGAGAGAGAAAAAAATAATGCCTGGGAGAAGGAGAGGAATAGTTGTAGGAGGGAGAGGAGTAGTTAGATCAGAAAAACGGAGAAGAAGAGGTAGGGGAGAGGAGTAAGAATGTGTGCTGTGAAGGAAACTCAACATAACTGTTGATGTGTTTGTTTGTTTTTTCCTCTTACGAATGTGGAACCTATGAAAGCTTATTTCTGCCATGGAATATAAAGGGTAAAGGGTAATTTTTTTTTAAAGTTTTTTTTTTTAAATCGCACAATTCAGACTTTTTTTCTTGCAATTGTGAATTTATCTCACAATTCTGATAAAGTCTGAAATGCAAGATGTAAACTCGCAATTCCAAGAATAGAAATCCAAATTGTGAGATAAAAAGGTCACAATTACCGTTTTTACTTTTTTATTCTGTGACTGAAACAAGCTTGCATAGTAACCAAAGGTTACTTGGTAACATGCATCTTGGAATTTTTGTTGATCACTGGCATCAGCTACAATTGGGGCACCATCCACATCCAGCCCCCACCCACTGGAAAGCAATTTCAATCAAGGTTCCAATTGAATTTCTGCATAGGGGACCCTATTTTTTTTTCTATTGTACATTCTATAAAGTAGTAACTCATTCAGGTTTAAGAGATTCAATGTTCGTTTGTGTCCGTTTATAGATTCAAGGGTTTCAATATCTTGAAGGCCGGAATCCTGCATTTCACACAATATGCAGTCAATTACCATGTTTCTAAAATGCTTACATTTTCTTTTCATACAAGCTTACCCAAAACCAAAATCATGGATTTTTGTAGTCTTATTTACAAATGTTTAAACACAGCATGTCAGAAATGAAGACCTAATGTTCCAAATCTTAAATATAGTATAAAGCTTCTACTTCTGCAACAACAGCAGCTCAAAAGTATTGAAAAAAATCTCTATATATAAAATATTTTAACAATTAATAAGCATTTTTAAGTAACAGATCGCTGAAATATTTAGAATTAGCTGATTCCAGTCTCAGTTGTTGGAATAGTCAGGTGTTGATTCTCCTTCCATTACATCAACATAAGAGTAAAAAAAGACCTCTTTGAATTGGTTTTGTGAATGCAGAACAACACAAAGAATCAGAGAGAGAAAAAAATAATGCCTGGGAGAAGGAGAGGAATAGTTGTAGGAGGGAGAGGAGTAGTTAGATCAGAAAAACGGAGAAGAAGAGGTAGGGGAGAGGAGTAAGAATGTGTGCTGTGAAGGAAACTCAACATAACTGTTGATGTGTTTGTTTGTTTTTTCCTCTTACGAATGTGGAACCTATGAAAGCTTATTTCTGCCATGGAATATAAAGGGTAAAGGGTAATTTTTTTTAAAAGTTTTTTTTTTTTAATCGCACAATTCAGACTTTTTTTCTTGCAATTGTGAATTTATCTCACAATTCTGATAAAGTCTGAAATGCAAGATGTAAACTCGCAATTCCAAGAATAGAAATCCAAATTGTGAGATAAAAAGGTCACAATTACCGTTTTTACTTTTTTATTCTGTGACTGAAACAAGCTTGCATAGTAACCAAAGGTTACTTGGTAACATGCATCTTGGAATTTTTGTTGATCACTGGCATCAGCTACAATTGGGGCACCATCCACATCCAGCCCCCACCCACTGGAAAGCAATTTCAATCAAGGTTCCAATTGAATTTCTGCATAGGGGACCCTATTTTTTTTTCTATTGTACATTCTATAAAGTAGTAACTCATTCAGGTTTAGACAGTATGTTGCCAAGAATGAACACATTCAACACTTAAAAATGTAAAATGGTTTTCAGTTGAAGGTAACAAAAAACAATTGATTTTTATATTGTCTATATGCAGGTGAACTGAAACATGACAAGTAATGCAGTTTTTGTAAAACCATCAACTTGTTAGTATTTTGACAGTCACTATGCTATGATTGACTATATGTTCCTGTTGGATAGAAAAGTAGTGCTAATGTTTTGACTCGATTTTGAATCGGGTTTGCTGTGTTTTGATAGAGTTTGTATATGTGGAAAAGGGTAATCAGCATTTTGAAATGTATAGTTTGTATTTATTTAACAAAATGTGGTTTTGGCCAGAAAATTAACTATTTGGCTAATTGTGTGATGTAGGTTTGTTGCTGTGTTAAAGGGTTAGTTCACCTCAAAATGAAAATTAGGCTGAGTTTTACTCACCCCCCATGCATCCTAGGTGTATATGACTTTCTTCTTTCAGACGAATCCAGTCGGAGTTATATAAAAAATTGTCTTTGATCTTTCAAGCTCTATCGTTGTACTCAGCGGGTGTTGCATTCCTTCTGTTCAAAAGACGTGAAATAAAAAGCACCCTTCCACAAAAAAAAGTGTCTCACACGGCTCCCGGGGGTGAACAAAGGCCTCCTGTAGCGAATCAATGCGTTTTTGTAAGAACAATATCCATATTCAAAACGTAATAATCACTTGAATCTAGCTTGCCGCACACCCACATAACACATGCTTGACTGTGCCCATTCACATCTCAGCTCTCTGGGATGCAGTGAAGTGGGTCAGTTTGCTGGAGTGCAGATATGTCACTCTCAGCGTGCAGTTTCGCCATGGCTCTTTGGATAGAGTGGATTAAATTAATTGAATATAAGCAGATCAAGCCAGTAAGCTTGATTGAATAACGATTAGTAGCATAAAAACACTTTCGCTGCTCTGGTGGTGGAATGGAAATGTGAATGAGTTGCTTTCAGATGCAAGCGGAGCAGATGGCTGATGTGTGCGTTTATGCTGTTTGCTTGGTCTTGTCGGTGACAAAATGAAAGTTGATATGCTCAGAGGATTTCGATATAAGCCAAGAGGAGACCGGTTTTCCTTAAAATAAATAATAATAAAGTAAGGAAACTTTGCTTCCTTTGCTCCTGTTAACAAACGCTGGTTTTCACGAGACTCACCGGCACATGCGCAACGCCGACATCTTACGTCATCCTCCCGGAGCTGCTTCCGTGTACAACAGTGAGCGCAAGCTAGATTAAAGTGATTGTTATGTTTTAAATATGGTTATTTTTCTTACAAAAACACATCAATTTGCTACAGGAGGCCTTTGTTCACCCCCCCGGAGCCGTGTGAG